AGGTCAACAGGCTTCCTTTTCCCTTGCCCTTTCATGAAGGTTTTGGGCAGGGACTTTGCACCTGGCTGAGAAGACTTGAAATAGACAATCAGAAGCTGACATGGCAACAGATCCCAACCACCAAGGGTTCCCACCAGTAGAAGCAATCGCCCTGTCAATCCAATCAGTCCTGACCAACCCGTGACAGACATGATCCCCCTAAACTCGGCTTGGCCAACCTGCTGAAGGTAGCTGCAATTTAGATGGCCTAGGCCCTCCTATCTCCAGCTTCCCTTATTAGCATTGTTCTTGCCTTTCCCACCTGCGACTTCCCAGGCCCTTTACCTTTTCGGAGACCAGTGAACCTCTCCTGGGAGAACCCCCCAATAAACCTTCTTTTGATGCCTCATTCTTGTTCCGTAGTTCCTGATCTCACGTACCCCTTTCTACTTTACATACTTAACTGTATATAACTATTACAACCTTGAAGAGTGTGCATATTAGTCTCACTTTTGCTGATGAAGAAACTGAGATTGTGAAAAATGAATGAATTGCCTTAAGGTCACCCAGCCATGACTAAACAAACTGGAGTTGTAATCCCAGTCTGTTTGGCTCAAGACTGGTTTTGCCACTATGTTATATTACTGTTTTTCTAGTTCTGACTATATTATTTGGTTTCATGTGCATCAACAGGAGTGAGGAACAATCATAGGATTCCCCTTACATTCTGTATATTACTCCAGGAAGACAACACAGTATTTAATTAATATAATCACCTGAAAACTTCAACAACAGAAATTATTTCCTCGGGAAGAATTCTAAAAGTTGAATTGCTCAGTAAAATTATCTGCATGTTTTATCAAATTTTAGGGTTTATTAGCAAAATGCCCTTTAAGCAATATATAAAGTACCTGTTGCCTGTAATCATCATCATCATCATCATCATCATCATCATCATCATCATCCATATAGTGTTTACTATGAGCAGTCCTGGGCAGTCTGGATGGACTATGCCAAGACTGGATACTATATCAATCTTTTTAAATTTTATACATAAAAATATTTAAGTTAATTTCTATTTAAAGAAAATAAAATGTTTCCTTCCTTCCTTGTTTCCTTCTTTCCTCTCTACCTCCCTTCCCTCCTCTTTCTGACATTTATTTTCCTTTTTTAAAGATAGTAGTTAATGTTTATTTTTTCCTATGAGTATTCCTTTTTCTACATTGATTTGTACCAAGTATGTGTATGTCATAAATAGAACTAATGGGTTACATATGTCACAATTTTTTAGTTTGCCTCTTTTAATTTTTTATTGTTTTCTTCACATATAGAAGTTTAAAATTGTTGTTTTATGAAACTTATCCATCTTTTTACTTATAGTATTCTTTGTTATTTTAAAAAGGTTGTCACCATGGTGAGGTCATATAAATATTTGATCTAATATTTTTCTGCAAATTTTATGATTTCATTTACTTTTTTTTGAGAGAGAGAGAGAGAATTTTAATATTTATTTTTTATTTTTCTGCGGACACAACATCTTTGTATGTGGTGCTGAGGATCGAACCAGGGCCACACACATGCCATGCAAGCGTGCTACCGCTTGAGCCACATTCCCAGCCCCATGATTTCATTTTCTTCTAAAATTTATTTAGTTTTTTAACATGAAAATTCACTGATGGCATTCTTTCTACCTTTCCAACACTGCTAGGGGTTTACTATTCTTCTCATATCATTTCTGTCATATGAATGGGATTTAATAAAGGAGGTTAAAAACAATTGCCACATTGAAAAATAAATATTTTTAAAATAGTTAATTATTTGATTTCTGGCTCATTTTTTAATATGGCTGTTACATCGTTAAGATTTTCTACTTCTGATTAAATTTTGGTCATGCACGGTCTTCAGTTTTCCTTTGTTGTTAGTCAAGATCAGTATAAAGTATTTCCTCATAATTTAAAAAAATATTCCCTTCATCTGTGATTAAATGTATTCCCACCCTATTAATTTTATGTATTTGTCTGGTTCCCCTTAAGTTTCAGCTCTGCTTCTCACTAATGAAAGAATATAAGTTCAGTCACTGGAATATTAATTTTATTTCATTGTAAGCAACTTAAACCACAATTTTACATTATATTTTAGAATAAAATGTTAAAACATTGCATGATTTGTATAATAAAAGGAAAAAAACTCAAAGGAATGTGTTTGTGGAAGGATTCAGGAAGGGGAAAAAGGTGAGTGTGCTTTTGCCCCTGTACTGTGTACTTGGGTGAAGAAATTGCCAGCTAAGAGAATCACTGAACTAACAATGGTTTATCTATTTAGCTTGTTTTTAAAAACAACTTCTTAAGTTAGCTTAACAAAATTTACTTTACTTTGTTTGTTCATTAATGTTTGCCGTTATCATTTTGTAGCCAACACCCCATTTCCCTTTTGTAATTTTTTTGTTATCCTATTTAAATGCCAAATTAATTTATATTTTTTATTGTTTGTATTTCAACTCTTTGAGTATATAAGTTTAATTGAATTCATCCACATATACCCTGTAAATAAAATATTACTTAATTTGAGTTTGATAAGAGTGCAGATTCTTGTACAACACTTATTTCAGTAGGTTTGGATGGGACCTAGAAATCTGTATTCTTAACAAGTTCTTCAGATCACACAAAGAGAAATCCTTTGCTAATTGCTGATTTATATGTTCTCATTATCATTATTTTTGTTAATTTATTCCAATAAGAACTTTGATTAGCACTTTGTCTCAAAAATGTTTGTTTGGCTTTACTTTTTAAGTCGTTGGGTTTTTCCTTCCCACTTTTATTATTAATACGTGCCTTTATTCTATTGAAATTAAAGATAATCTGTGATGTTGTCTGATTTTTATTTTTTTGAGAGAATACAAAAATATACTATAACACATAGGAATTGGAATTCCCACCACCTACAATCACCTGTTGTCGATATCTTTCCGTATTTGCTTCCATTTTTAAAATAAAGCAAGTTTTTATACATTTAATTCAAGTTCTTTTCCATCAATGCCCTGTATCCTATTCCATTTTTTCTTGCTCATGTGAAAGTTTGGTACGAATCATTTTAGTATATTTGCTTGCTTGCTTGCTTGCTTTTTCTTGCTTTCTTTATTTTCATTCCTTTTTGTGCCAGAGATTGAACACAAGATCTCATACAGCTTAACATCTCCACCACCGAGCCCCTCTAGAAATATTTCTAGTAGAATATTTCACATATATATGAATGCATCTATAAATACCATAGAGTATAATTTGACATGTGCTGATTCATTAGGCTTTTGAGATCTATACACATTACTATATTTAAAAGTAGTTCATCTTTTGCCTCTGTATTAATCATATTAAGCATACTATATGTGAACATATATATCACTATATTAATTGATGCATATCACATGCCTATATTTTTTTCTTGAGATTTATTGAGGTGTTGGTGACCTAATGACTTTAAAATGCTGTTAAATGGCCCCTGGATATTTGAGGGGAAAAATGATTTTCTGTATGATCTAAATTAGGGTTAGAGATATATACATAAATTCAAAATTATGTCTTCTATTATTCATGTTATTTTTATCAGTACTGCCATTTCTTTGTTTTTCTTAATCTGTATTGAAATACGTGAACATATTAATGTCTACCACTATATGTGCCCGTCAATTTCTATTTGTACTATTCTCCCAAAATATATTTCTATTTTTTAAAATTATAAATGCAGTGCATAATAAAAACCATTGAAAAATTCAAAATTTTATAAAAGTGAGAGTTAGTCATAATATCAACATTCACTAATCACCACTATCATACTGGTGTATAGCCTTTCAGATTTTTTTCTACATGTACACATACAATCTACACGCACGAGTTGTTAAAAATATTTTTAAAGTAAAAATATATTTATTGTATTTTGGATATTGAAATATATATGTCTTATATAGTTTCTAATTGTGCATAAATAAAGCCAAAAGTGAAAATACTATCATTTCCCTTTATCTGCAATGTATTTATTATATACCTTTAAAGACACTTTATATCATATAAAAAAACACTCACTTTTTAAACATAGTACATATTATTTTATTGTATGATAACATCATAGTAGGTTTGACTAATCTCTTGTAAATACACATTTAAAATGTTTAAATCATATTTTTAATGCTACAGTATTTGTTTTATACATATTGATTATTTTCTTAGAGGAAGTTTTTAGATGAGGTATTTTTAAATAAAGATGGAAATATTTTTAAAATGTTAATTTGTATTCTCAAATTGCTCTAGGATTATTAACAATTCACACTTCGGCGACTAGCATGAGAGTGCATTTTCTCAGCTCCCTATCAACAAGGTTTATCATTATTTCTCATCGTTGCCGATATGATAAGACAAAAGTATACCATCATCATTATAATTTGTATTTCTTTCATTACTAGTGAGTTTAATCACCCTTTCATAGCCTATTGGCCCTTTGCACTTCTTTTGTAAAATGTACGCTCCTGCCCTGTCTTCCCTTCCCCCATTGGGGGTGTTCCTGTTTCCTTTTTGCTTTGTCAGAGTTCTTTATTATTCATTTTTCGTCTTTTACATGGGATCGATTTGATTCAGGCTTTCATCCTTTCACTGCTTTACAGATTGCTAATATATATTCTCCACTGGTCTTTCAATGTCGTTTACAGAAGCCGTTTTCCTCTCCCTCCTCCCTCTCAACTTCCTCCCTCCCTACCTCGCCTCTTTTCTCTGGACTAGTCTTCTCTTCTAGTCTCGTCCCTTCTCCCCCGCCACCTCTCTCTTTGTTTCCCTCTTCCCTCTCTCTCCCTCCTTTTTTTTTTTTTTTTTTTTTTTAGTGCATAAGTTTTTAATTTTGACCGAGTCAAATCTATCAATCAGGGCCTGGCGCCGCGTCAGCAGAGGGGGGCGGGGAAGTGAGCGCGGAACTGGGGGAGGGGAAGGGGCGGGGAGGAGCGGGCGGAGCGGCTGCGGGAGTTGCTGGGAGTGCGCGCGGTCAGATCACAAGGCGGCGGCGGCGGAGGCCCAGAGACCTGAGCGCTGAGACCTCAGCCCGCGGCCTACGCTGAACCCTCTCGACCGGAGGACCAGGGAACCGCAATCTTCATCACAGAGGTACCGTGCTCTGCGCTCCTCGCCCAGCCCGGCCCAGTCCGCTGCTGCGGCGCCTCCTTCCTTCCTCCTTCCCTCGCTCTCTCGCTCGCCCGCGCCTTCCTTGCCCGCCTGCGTCACCGCGGCCGCCATGGCTGAGAACGGCGAGAGCAGCGGCCCCCCGCGCCCCTCCCGCGGTCCTGCTGCGGCCCAAGGCTCGGCCGCTGCCCCGGCTGAGCCCAAAATCATCAAAGTCACTGTGAAGACCCCCAAAGAGAAAGAGGAGTTCGCGGTGCCTGAGAATAGCTCGGTCCAGCAGTTTAAGGAAGCGATTTCAAAACGCTTCAAATCCCAAACCGATCAGCTAGTGCTGATTTTTGCTGGAAAAATCTTAAAAGATCAAGATACCTTGATCCAGCATGGCATCCATGATGGACTGACTGTTCACCTTGTCATCAAAAGCCAGAATCGACCTCAGGGCCAGTCCACCACACAGCCTAGCAGTGCCGCGGGAACTACTACTACCACCACCACGGCGTCGACTCCCAGGAGTAACTCCACACCTACTACCACAAATAGCAGCCCGTTCGGGTTGGGGAGCCTGGGAGGACTTGCAGGCCTTAGCAGCCTTGGTTTGAGCTCGACCAACTTCTCTGAGCTCCAGAACCAGATGCAGCAGCAGCTCATGGCCAGCCCTGAGATGATGATTCAAATCATGGAAAATCCCTTTGTTCAGAGCATGCTTTCGAATCCTGATCTGATGAGGCAGCTCATTATGGCCAATCCACAGATGCAACAATTGATTCAGAGAAACCCAGAAATCAGTCACCTGCTCAACAACCCAGATATAATGAGGCAGACTCTCGAAATCGCCAGGAATCCAGCCATGATGCAAGAGATGATGAGAAATCAAGATCTGGCTCTCAGCAATCTCGAAAGCATCCCAGGTGGCTACAATGCTCTACGGCGCATGTACACTGACATTCAAGAACCCATGCTGAATGCCGCACAAGAGCAGTTTGGGGGTAATCCATTTGCCTCAGTGGGGAGCAGTTCCTCCTCGGGGGAAGGTACTCAGCCTTCCCGCACAGAAAATCGGGATCCACTGCCCAATCCATGGGCGCCACCGTCGACTACCCAGAGTTCTGCGACCACCAGTACGACCACAAGCAGTGGCAGTGGGTCTGGCAGTAGCTCCAGTAATACTACTGGGAACACTGTGGCTGCAGCTAATTATGTCGCTAGCATTTTCAGTACCCCAGGAATGCAGAGCCTGCTGCAACAGATAACTGAAAACCCCCAGCTGATTCAGAATATGCTGTCCGCACCCTACATGAGAAGCATGATGCAGTCGCTGAGCCAGAATCCAGATTTGGCTGCACAGATGATGCTGAATAGCCCACTGTTTACTGCAAATCCTCAGCTGCAGGAGCAGATGCGTCCTCAGCTCCCAGCTTTCCTGCAGCAGATGCAGAATCCAGACACGCTATCAGCCATGTCAAACCCAAGAGCAATGCAGGCTTTAATGCAGATCCAGCAGGGGCTACAGACATTAGCCACTGAAGCACCTGGCCTCATTCCAAGCTTCACTCCAGGTGTGGGGGTGGGGGTGCTGGGAACCGCCATAGGCCCTGTAGGCCCAGTCACTCCCATAGGCCCCATAGGCCCCATAGTCCCTTTTACCCCCATAGGCCCCATTGGGCCCATAGGACCCACTGGCCCTGCAGGGCCCCCTGGCTCCACCGGCTCTGGCGGCCCCACTGCACCCACTGTGTCCAGCTCTGCACCCAGTGAAACCACCACTCCAACATCAGAATCTGGACCCAACCAGCAGTTCATTCAGCAAATGGTGCAGGCTCTGGCTGGAGCAAATCCTCCACAGCTGCCGAATCCAGAAGTCAGATTTCAGCAGCAACTGGAACAGCTCAACGCCATGGGGTTCTTAAACCGTGAAGCAAACTTGCAGGCCCTAATAGCAACAGGAGGCGACATCAATGCAGCCATTGAGAGGCTGCTGGGCTCCCAGCCATCGTAATTACATTTCTGTACCTTGAAAAAATGTATCTTATTTTTGATAATGGCTCTTAAATCTTTAAACACACACAAAATCGTGCTTTACTTTCATTTTGATTCTTTTAAATCTGTCTATTATAAGTCTAATATGATGCATTTTAAGGTGGAGTCCCTCCCTCCCTTTTTTCTTTTCTCCCCCTTCCTGCCCCTCCCTCCGCCCTTCCCTTCCCCCCCCCCTGCCTTCTCCCCTCCTTTGTTTCCTTCCTTCCTTCTTTCCTTCCTTTTTTTCTTTTGGTTTCCTTCCTTCTGTGTTTCGAATGGTGGGAATCAATGCTGTTTCACTCAAAGGTGTTGCATGCAAACACTTCTCTTTATTCTGCATTTATTGTGATTTTTGGAAACAGGTATCAGCCTTCACAGTTGGGTGAACAAGTTTTGTCCTACAGATGTCCAATTTATTTGCATTTTAAACATTAGCCTATGATAGTAATTTAATGTAGAATGAAGATATTAAAAACAGAAGCAAATTATTTGAAGCTCTAATTTGTGGTACAATATTGCTTATTGTGACTTTGGCATGTATTTTTGCTAGCAAAATGCTGTAAGATTTATATCATTCATTGATCGTTTTTGCTATATTTGTACACAGTACAGTAAGCACAATTGGAACTGTACATCTAGAAGTATTACTGTAGAATCTGAGCAGAGTATGTGTAACTCAAATAAGAAAGAATACAAGAAATATTTCTGGAGCTAGATATGTCTCATGATTTTGTAGAATCTTACAGCATATTTGATAAATTTTTCAGTGAAAAATGTTGGCTAGGCAAGTTCAGTTAAAATATAGTAGAAATGTTTATCCTGGTATCTCTAAGTATACATTTAATTGTACAGAAATCTTACAGTGTAACATTGTGTCAACATTTGCAGATTGACTGTATATGACCTTAATCTTTGTGCAGCCTGAAGGATCAGTGTAGTAATGCCAGGAAAGTGCTTTTTACCTAAGACTTCCTTCTCAGCTTCTCCCATAAAGAGACCCTAATATGCATTTTGATTTGTAATTGGAAATGTAACTTTTACTGAAAGTGTCATGTGATGTTTGCATTACTTTTAACTGCTATGTATAAAGGAAAGTGTATCTTTTGACTTTATTGGTTAATTCTCTTGTGCACAGGGAAAATGCATTAAAAATGACTAAAAAAAATAAAAAAATTAAAAATGGATAAATCTTCTTCTTTTTGCCTTCTGGCCCTAGGATCATGTTTAGAAGGGTATTCCCACCCCAAGATTATATAAATCTTATCCTATATTTCCCTTTCATGGTTTAATTTAAATTTTTTGCCCTATCTGGAATTACTTTGATGTATGGATTTAGGTGTTCTAACTTATTTTTCTCAAAGGGTTAATCAGTTGTTAGCCAATATTTTCTCCTTTCCCACATTTGAAATATACATATTCATACTTGTTATGTTTGGATTCTCTTTAGTTCCACTGAATATTGTAGCCCTAGTAAACCAGCCTATACTTTTGAGTTAGAAATATGACTTCATACCTGTTAGGCAAGTCCTCTGTTGATCATCTTTATTTTTTACAATTTTCTAATATTCTGACATATTTGTTTTATCAGTTGAACATTACATTTAATAGGCTTTCCACAAAAGATAAATTGGGTATTTGGGATTGTTTTAAATTTATTATAATAGTGAGCACTACAGAATTGCATTGCTTTCCAGAAATATTATATATTGCCTCATTATTAAGAACCTTTTATATTATTTGAGAGTTTTATTTATTAAGTCCTGCATAATTTGTGATAAATTATTCCTAGATAACAAAGACAAATGGGAGTTTCTATCAGGTTATTTTTGCTATATAGGAAAATTTATTTTCATAGATTATTTAAATTAGCAGTTAATCAAAACTTATTAATTTCATAGGTACTCAGTTGATCCTTTTGAGCTTCTCGTGGTAAGCAATCATCAGTGATAAGTTATAATTACATGTTCTTTTCAAAATTTATAACATAATGTCTGCATGGTTAAACATTCTATAACAGTGCTAAATAATAAAGGTGGCAGTGGCATTTTTGTCTTGTTTCTCATTTTAATAAGTATGTTGCAACAATTCTAAATTGTTTTGGAAAAATATTGAGAGGAAAATAAGTTTGCAAAATACTATATATTCTAGTCCCTCTTGGAGACTTATTGTGAAGTAAATGTTGGTTAGTATGTTTTTAAATGAGTAGGTTTTTTAACATACACCAAATAACAAATATCAGTGTTCTTCAGAAAAACAACTTGGGGAATGATGATTTATTATTCCTCTACAATGTGATGGTAGATGTTTGAGATAATCACAAAGCTAGTCTGCCACAGAAATTTAAGAATTTTAATGACATGGATGATTTTACAAGAAATAAATACTAAACCTGGAGGCATAGAAAATAGCAATAAGTCAATAACCATAGGAAAAACTGGATATTGTCTGAGACCTGTTCAATCAGATAATTGAACAGATAAATTTTCAAACATTTAAGGAACAGAGAAATCCTTAGCTTTGCCAGATGTTTTATCTATTTTTTAATGTTTTGTTTTCTTCCTGAAAAGATCCCTACCTTTATTAAGTCTATTATTTTTCTGCTTTTTAGTTCACTCATTTTTTTTTTTTTTTAGTGAGAGAGGGAGAGAGAATTTTAATATTTATTTTTCAGCCTTCGGCAGACACAACATCTTTGTTTGTATGTGGTGCTGAGGATCGAACCTGGGCTGCACGCATGCCAGGCGAGCGCGCTACCGCTTGAGCCAAATCCCCAGCCCCTAGTTCACTCATTTTTAAAATAACTTTATTTGGTCTCTTTTTTTTTTATTACTTTTAACTTTTTCCTCTGCCTTTTGTGTGATGCAATTTCCTCCTAAGACTCTGTTTTTGTTTTGTATCTCTTCATCTATTGATCCAAAATTTATCCATCCTTTAATTGAGAAGGTATGTCCTGACCTGCTGTCCCTCCACCTAAGAGTGGAGTGATTTTTGTATGCTTTCACTGTTTACTGGGTTGTCACCCTTCTTTAAACTGGCTGGATGGTGAAAATTTATATTACAGGCTCTGATTCAACAGAATGAGGAAGTAGGGAAGAACATAAAGCCAGAGGCAATCCCACCAGGAGAACTTCACCATCGAGACATCTTTCCTCATTTGCTCCTTTGGCCTATAATTCAGGTACATGTATACTTTGACCACTTGTGCTGGATGGGGAGGGGCAGTAGTGGGTAGATAATACAACACTGAAACAAACCTGAGATCACCATGTTTGTTGAGAAACTGATCAGAAGATATATCTGTATTTGAGTGTGGCTGACCTTGCCTTCTGAGAGGGGGCAGTCTGCTTTAAATTCTGTTGGTCTAGTGTCAAAATAGGAATATATGGAATAATTACTGCCAGGGATGTCCCTTATGGTGTCAGGGGAGGCATTTGGCAGTTGTCTCACATTCACAAAGTGACTCAAATTCAGAGTTTTGATAATGATCTTCAAATTATTGATAACTCCAACCAAAGAGCCAGACTGACCCAATGGGAAATGTTTATCATACAGCTTAATTGAGTAAATGTGAAAAAAATTTAAACTCTGATAAGTTTGATGTCTCTAATTGGGTATTGCTTTATTTTAAAATATATCAGAAGACTTAAATAAAATGGAGATTACACAGTATAACCTCAGTTTATTAAAGAGTTTCTCATCCCAGTCTTTTTCATTGCCTACCCCAATCCCTAGTCCTTGTTCTTTTAAACTAGAAAGTATTAGTGGGTTTCTGGCTGCTGTGATTTTATTGATTTGTCAAAATATCACAGAACTTCTTCAGATTGTTGATATTCTTCATGGGAGTTCTGCTTTCCTTTTTGTTTCTACAGGTTTTTTTCAATGTTTGTTTCACAGTGGTCACTTCTGTTGATTTGTGGGAGGAACGGAAAGAATTAAGAACCTGTTGTCATGAAACCGTCTTCCCAGAAATCTGTTAGGAGACTTGAGGGGAAAGCAATTTTGTAAAAATAGAAAGGAGAAACATGGTTTGTCAGACAGGCTAAAGCTACACAAAAAACAGTCTTTATCAGGTGATGTACATGTTTGCCTAGGTTTAGACACTTTGATAATGGGTAAAAATCCTTGGCAAAAGCTACTTTTAGTAACAAACTAAAAATTGGAAAATACAATCTTGAAAGAGTTGTTTTTTCCAATATACAAGGACACTATTATTCATCAAATGACTATCAATTGAGACATGTGTTTCTAGCTGTATTGCATGAATATAGTCAAGGGCTCCCTAAAACAGCACTTCAAAATCCAACTTCAGAACTTCTTGGCCTAATGTGTAGATTAGCAAACTTAAGCTAATTTCAGAGAAAATTTTATAATTCATTATTAAAAGAATGTTTGATAAACATGGAAGAAAGAAAAAGGTGATTGGCTCTAGCATGGATTTCATAAGATTGTCTTGTCAGACAATTTTTCTGTTAGTTTGGGGTAACAATAATTACTAACACATTTACTGTTATGTTTGATTGTAATAACTACATGGTGGCACTGTTATCTTGCCCAATTTCAGATAAGGAAATAAACTAATTGAGGTTAAGTAACTTTCATAAGGTCATACTACTATTATGTTATTGAGTCAAGAATTTGAAATCAGTTCTGAGATTCCAGAGTATGTTCTAACTAGTACATAAATCTATTTCTACCTCCCCCTAAATCTATGAAATGATTCCATTCTATTTATTTGTCACAGAGATTTTATAGTTAATTATATATTATTTGGCCTCCTGTGTATTATTCAGGAGGCACATTAGCTCTTGTTAAATAAATGCATGCTTACTGCTATTCACCCTGGATCAGGCTACATAAAAATGCACATGTGAAAATCAGCTCTGTCACAAACCAGAGACTAAAATTTAGAGCTTTGCCTTTTCTGACTTTCAAGTTATGGCTAATATTTGAAACTGCCCTTCAATGCATCTGTTCACAGTGGCCTAATATATACAGTGTCTCCAAATTGGCAATCACTTGGGCCACTTGTGCTTCAGCTGCTCTGGAAGATATCTGCTTTTTGTTGAGCTGCCTCCCAGAGATCTCAGGAGGAGATAAATATTGTATGCCTCACCAAGGCATTTGACAGTTTTTGCAAAGTGTCCTTGAGAACAAAATGGAGTAACATGAGCTAGAAGATAATGGCCAGACAGTAGACAGGT